GGGGGTGCAAACTTCTTTATGTGGGGTGTAAAAACTTTCTGAGGAGGTGCGCACTTCCCCCTATCCCTCTATGCTTCAACTGTTAGTTATATCGAGCGAGACGGCCAAAATCTCAATATTTAGGAGTATATATACTTTATAAATACCAGTATAGTTGTGACGTAACTTTTCCTTTGTTTCTAGTGGATCATCATTCCATTGCTAAGTAACGCTGTGTCGCAGTTCAAGAAGTACAAATCACCCAGAATGAAACGTTTCTTAAGTATGTAAAACCGCATTTTGTAATTGGGAGCAACCGAAGTTCCGTTCCTTGCAGTATATGCAGTTGTACGGATCCATTACTTATTCTGTGTTTAAGCCCCGGTCAAACTACGGAGAGAATTGATGAGAGTTTTCTCAACTCTCGTGCCCCGGTCAAACTAGCCTGCGTAGCAGGCGGTTAAACGAGAAGAAGAGTTGAAATTCTCCTTGTATTTTTCTGGTAGAAAACAATTATTAATATAGCCATTGAATTAATCGAACTCTGTGAAGTGAATTATTGTATTATACTGATTGAGTTGACTATAGTAACCTCGCTCTAAATGAATTAGCGTGCGTGTTGCGAAAACTCTCGTATTCTGTGGTTAAGCCCTGGTGAGAGTTGATGAGAGTTGAGGAGCGAGAGTTTGCATGAGAGTTTTCTCAACTCTCGTGCCCCGGTCAAACGAGAACAAGAGTTGAATGAGAATGGACTGGATATTACCGCGAAAACTCTAACCAATTCTCATCTAAATTTGAAGCAGCTCAAAGTTGACGCGAGACTGCATGAGAGTCCATGAGAGTTAATTTTAATTTTTTAAATTTATTAACTTTGCCATTATTAATAACGAAAATTTACATGCACATATTTATACAAGAAAATTTTGGCACGGACAACAAACAATTAATATATTACATAAACAATTATTTAAATAAATCACTTGTTATAACAAACTAACTACTAACATTTAAAATGAGCTTTAGTTTCAACTTCTATAGTAGCAACAAGTTATTGGCGATGTTAGACAGCGTACAGAATTACACTTCAGGCCTATGGTTCTAAATGTTTGCGGATTTTCAGGATTACAATTGACTTCTAATGATTTATATTTCTGCAAGACGGATTTAATGTTGACGGTGAAACGCCAGCGACAGTTGCAACTTTAATCAACTTTCATCCTTGTTTTTCCAAGGCTTTAATTTCCTTCTCCACAGTTGCATGTGGAAAAAGTACATCCAGTTTGACCCAACACCTCGTCTCTGAATACTCTATATACGGTTTCTTCCTGGGGTGACACTGGACCAATAAGTGTTTTCTTTATTTAGTGGTACAGATGGGAGAGGAATATTATCATGCGAGAGATTATACCAAAGCTCTGGCGTAAGTCGACATTATTTCGTGGTTTTGTTCACCCCCTTACGGAAAATTCGCATACAATGTCACATGTAGGGAGACTATACAAAACTCTGCCATTTGATGTTTGTTTTTTAGTCTTCTTGGCGTAGTGACCGGTGATTATCGAAAAGAAAAATGGTGGTCGTTATTGACAGCCATGTTGTGCACTTCATTAAGGTATAGTATATAAATGCAGTTGTTAACCACTGACATACAGTATAGACCCCCTATGCCTGTGTTAAAATTTCTCGCTGTAATTATTTCGCTGGCAGAATTTAATTAACTATCAGAATGCTCTTTATATAATCTTAATGTACAATTCCAAATGAAGAAGATGGCTATATTTACCATACTACTTTATTTTGCCACATTTTTTTGTTTAAAGATGTGCTTATCTCCTGGCGAACATTCAAGAGTACTTGACGATTTGTATTGAACTAATGGGTCAATGTATCCTTTTTGAATTTGAATTAGAGGCTAAACTAAACTAACTTTATTTATGCTAGTCATTGCTCTTATAATTATTTTTTGTGTGTTTGGGTGTTATGTACTCAGGTGAATATGATGTTTGTAATGTTACTCTGAGTGTGCATCCACACCGGGCAAGCTGAAAAATTAGCTTGGTCACGGTGGGAATCGAGTCCGCGACCTTTGGGATACTAGTCCAATGTTCTGCCAACTGAGCTACGTGGTATTCCGAAATATCATCAACTCGAACCGACTTGACCACGTAGCTCAGTTGGCAGAGCATTGGACTATAGTATCCCAAAGGTCGCGGGTTCGATTCCCACCGTGGCCAAGCTAACTTTTCAGCTTGCCCAGTGTGGATGCACACTCAGAGTAACATCACAGACATCATTGCTCTTATAGATAGATAGAAACTTTTATTTAAATGGGGTAATCCAATCAGTTACAATGTTGACTGTTAGAGGCCCAGTAAGAGACATTTCTATATGTCCAGTGTTACTATCCAGGAAGGAGCTTAAACTAAATTTACTTATACTGAATAGCTCTCTGTCAGTTATAGCTTTTCTTCATATAAAGGTCCAGAAAGAGTCATCTCTTATTAATCTAGTGTTACTACAGGAAGAAACCTAAACTAAACTAACTTTATTTATACTGGATAGCTCTGTCAGTTATGAGCTTTTCATCTTAGAGGTCCAGTAAGAACCAGTAGAAAACATTCGTGCAAAAATCGCGTTGTTATTGCTTTACTCTCTCCAAGATGCTCTGCACTATTCGGACGAAAGAACTAGAATTCAAATGAATTTAATACGTGTTATATCTGTAAGTAAAAACTAACAAATGTTATATATAGCCAAGTAATGAGTTAATTTTTGTTTGTAAGTCAAGGTTAGATCGTGGAGGTCAGTTCTAATAATATAAAGAGAAATGTTTTTCTTGGTAAAATATTCGATGATCCAACCATTAAAAAGTCAAAAAAAAATTTACCCAACCTCAAATATCAATTAAAAAATAAATAGCCACCCCTGGCCAAAAACTTTACAAAAAGATACCATTCAGTTGTCACCCATGTCCTTTACCACTTCTGTGACATGAGTTTGATAACTGCTTGTGCAATTTTCTGCAGTCTAAACTTACACGTCGTCTGCACTTGCACTTTCTTTGGAGACACCATTTGCCTCCTGACAAATCAGAAAGTGATTAATTAAGATAGATTATATTAATGTATTGACATATGACTGTTGACAGTTCAGTCTTCAATATTTTATGCTTTGGAAATGACAATAAATTTCTATTACCCAACCCTTGAGTTGAGTTGTTTTTCATTTACCCAAACTTTTACTTACGTAGAATTTTATTTACCCAACCCTTTTCTCTTCGGTGCTGAAAATATAACTTTCCGTTGTCCAGGGTGACTCGCCCGACCATGAACCAGGTTGTGATGTAGAGGCGATAGAAGAAGCGAAGGAGCTTTGGAAAGCTTCAATGAAACAGGGACCTCATCTCATTAATATACAGATGTCCAATATCGCTGCTTTTGGTAAGTGGAAGATATTAATGTTATTGATAGCTTTACGCTGGACCGGTTTGAGTGAAATTGTTTGAAAACGTCACTGTTGCCGTAACAATTTGAGCAAGGTTTCTAAACGGAGCGAGATGAAAACGGAGCGCATGGCGGCTTCATGTGAACACAAACGTCGTTATTTTTTTGTACCGCTTGCAAACCAAGCATCTCAGGTCTTAAAACAGTAAATTTGAATGCTTTTTAAATTTATTTGCTCTATTTGAGATATTTTGAATTTATATGAGTGCTAATTTAATTTGTAAACAAATGTGTTCCGACGGCCTATACTCGGCCGTCGGAACAAGTGCGACTTTCCGACGCGTAGGAGAGCACGGCGGTCGTGACGCAGCCTTTGGCGCGAGCCAAGGTGTAACGGCCGCCGGTGCAGATCCTGGTGGTAGCATGGATAATAAAAAAAATGGATAGGACTCTAGCTGACGTAAGCAAAAACAACCTAGTTGCAATCTGTGACGTCACGCGTATTGCAAAGTTCTGAGCATTTTTGTTGTTTCGCTATACTTTCCGCTTTAAAAGAGTAATATTGAAGCATATACTGGTCTAATTGTTTTAAAAACATGCCTAAGCCACGACAAAGTATTCAAGGTAAATGTAATTTTTTACATTTGTAGCTACGAAATTGGCGTCCCCAATTTTAACGAAATTTGGGATGCATTTTTCACTGTTTAGTGCTTGAAATATTTGCTAAAATTGACTGGGAATACTTAGAGATTTCATCGTAGAGTGGCGTAGTTCTATTCATTTGCTCTTTGACTAAAATGTTTAGCTGTATTATTGCTAAACATGCCGTCAGCTAGATTCCTATCCATTTATGTCTAAACATGCTGTCAGCTAGTTTCCTATCCATTTATTTTATTATCCATGGTGGTAGTAGCAAATATTCAATTAACACACGTAAATTCTGCCCGCATTATTTCTCTCCGGTGTAGTGTAAGCCTCAAAACAATGTCCTTGTCATCGGAATATTTCTGGTGAATTATCCTAGGAGATACTCGACAATTACGTCACACATACTTTTTGATCTTGGAGCCTCCTCTCATTAGCAAATTATACGCAAGGTGATTGGCTCACGATTCATGAGAGCGAGGCTCCCAGGCCAAATGACGTAATTATTGAAAGGGTGTATTGAAAGGGTGTATTCCGGCAATTACGTCACCACTAACGCTGTTTTGAAACAAATTCGAAACCTATTCCATTTAAGGTGGCAGTAGTAGTGTATGTGGTTTTCGACCCTTATTTTTGGGGCGGCGCGGGGCGGCGCATCATCCTTAGCATACGTCATAATTACATTCAATGACGTCACGCGAGTAGGATCAGGCAAGTAATGACGTCACGCGGGCGAGCTTAAACACGATCGGGCGAAACTTGCTGACTACGCATTTTTTAGCGTCCCTCCTCGTGTGCGACACAATAGTTAGGGCTATTATTATTATTATTATTATTATTATTATTATTATTATAATTCATTTATATAGCGCCATTTCCCATAGCTCAATAGCGCTTAACATCAGTGTTAAAAATATATACTAAGTGTTAGAACATAGTGCATGCATTAACTACTAAAATTACTATACTATAAAATTACTAAAAAATAATTATATGCTCTTCTCGTTAAGAATATAAAATTACTTTATGTTATGTATGTTGATAATATTAAAACAACAACTATATAGAATACTATAAAATTGCTAATAATCTTGTTAAAATAATAACTTAGTCATAATACTGTTTAAAAAGATGTGTCTTTAATCTGGTTTTAAAAATAGGCAAGGTCTCACTCTTTCTAATATACTCTGGCAGTTCGTTCCACAGTTTCGGTGCAGCATATGAGAACGATCGTTCACCATAGTTCACTAGTTTTACTGAAGGTGTGGTAAGCAATCCTTTGGATGAGGAGCGTAAATTTGCTGATGGTGTGTAAGGTTTTAGCATATTATTAATGTAATGTGGAGCTGAGCCATTCAGAGATTTATACGTGATAAGAACAATTTTATAGATGATGCGTTGACTGATGGGGAGCCAATGTAATTGTTTCATTAATGGAGTAACATGGTCGTATTTTCTGCTTCCTGTCACCAGACGAGCAGCACAGTTTTGCACATTCTGTAATCGATCTATAAGAAATTTAGGTAGTCCGTATAGCAAAGAGTTGCAATTATCTAGTTTCGATGTAATAAAGGCATGAACTAGGGTTTGGATATCTGATTTTGATAAGTACTCTTTTATTCTTGCTATTTTTCTCAAATGGAAAAAACAGTTCTTGCAAATGTTGGTAATATGTTTATCCATGGACATGTGTTGATCGAAGGTTACACCGATGTTTCGTGCTGAAGTACTTGGTTGAACTATTGACTTAGATATTTCTATATGGTGTACAGCAGGGCATAAACGATTTCGTGCATTGATTACTAGTAACTCAGTCTTGTCCCCATTCAATTTTAATTTATTTTTGACCATCCACAAATCAATCTCCTTTACACACATTTCGATTTGTACCAGTGCTCCCGCTTTTCCTTCAGTGGTTGACTCAAAAGCGAGATATAATTGCGAGTCATCTGCATAAAAGTGAAAATCAAGATCATGACCTCTGATGATATCACCAAGGGGTGAAGTGTATAGTAAATATAGTATAGGGCCGAGAACTGATCCTTGTGGGACTCCACAGCGCAAGTCTTTAGAGATAGATTTAACACCGTCAATCACTACACTTTGCGTTCTATTCTGAAGATAGGACTGAAACCATCTCAACACTTGCCCATCTATCCCAAATCTTTTGAACATTCGTTGTAGTAAAAGTTCGTGATCAACAGTATCGAATGCTGCTGACATATCTAGTAATAGCAACACCACACACTTACGATTATCAATGGCTACAAGAATATCGTTTTGTACTTTTAATAGGGTTGTTTCTGCACTATGAAAACGTTTATATGCCGACTGGAAGGGTTCTTCTAATTTGTTATTAGCCAAGTGTTCCAGAAGCTGACCGGCAGCAACCTTCTCAATTACTTTAGACAGGAATTTTAAATTTGAAATAGGTCGGAAATTTGTGTATTCTTCGTAATCCAGCGAATCTTTCTTTAGTTTTGGTTTCAACACGGCTTCTTTTAGTATCTCAGGCATACAACCTGACTGAAGTGACTCATTACTGATCTTAGTAATTATAGGTAAGAGAGTCTTCTGACAACCTTGAAAGATTTTTGCGGGCACTGGATCAAGTTCACAAGATTTTTTACCAACTTTGTCAATAACATTTTCAATCTCATGTTCCGTGACTTCTTGAAAGTTAATGAATTTAACGCATTGTGCATATTGTTCCTCTTGATTTCGCTGATTACAGTGGGAAGAATCGATGGCTAGTTCTTTCCATATAATAGCAATCTTATTATTGAAGAAATATGAAAATTTATTCACAAGTTCAGTCGTTGATGACGCAGTTGGATAGCGCTTTTCTGGCTTTCGATGGAGTAATTTATCAACCGTACTAAATAACACTTTCTGATTATGTGCATTACTGGAAATAACCGATGAGTAGTATGTTGTCTTAGCATTCTTTATCATGGCATTCACTGTCTCACATTGTTTGACATATAACTGTCTGTCAATACATAGTCCAGATGCGCGCCAGCGGCGCTCTAGTTTCCTGCGATTTCTTTTTTCTTGACCAATCTCCTCATTGTACCATGGTGATAAAGGACGAAGAGTTATAATTCGTCGTTTTTGTGGAGCATGCTGCTGTAATGTTTCTTTCAACGTATTTTCATATTTATCAATAAGGACGGAAAGATCATAATCGTCATTTAAATCTAGTACTTTTAGATCTTCATTGAAACTATCCATGTTTACATTGTTTAATTTTCGATAATAAATTTCAGCTTGTTCTAATGGTGGTTTCTCTAACTGTAATGTACAATGTATGGCAAGATGATCTGATATTACTGGATCATGTATTCTGATACCAGTCACTAATTTATCTTCATTCCTTGTTATAATCAAGTCTAAGGTGTGGCCTATATACAAGAGAATATGTTGTTGTCTGGAGTTTTATAAGTACAGCTCTAGCATTTTGCTGTTATTGTCAAGTGATTTCTTTAATTTAGCTCCTAGAGGAGTAAAAAATCTGATACTATATGAAATAGCATTAGTGTTATATATCTAAAACTTATATATTCGGGGTATACAACTATATGTTTTGTTGTTAAGTAATATATAAATATTATCAAGCGTCAAAACGCTGAGAAATAGCATGCGGTAAAGAGTTATGTATCTACAATTAAGCTAATATTTAAATCCCGATCTGCCATATGAGGTCTATATACGAGAGAATATGTTGCTGTCAGAGTTATATAAACACATGGAAGTTAGAGGTCATGATATACAATTGTCAAGTGATTTCTATATTTTAGTGCTAGGTTTTTAAAGTACTAAAACTCGGATAAGGTTAATAAATTTAAGTTATATTAAAGCACACCGGTTGCTATGTGTTGTTAGGGTGAAACTAATTAAAGGATTAACTTTTATCAGTGATTTGTAATATATTTTGCAATAAAAACATGTAATCGTTATATACGTTGTTATTTGTTGCTAAGTCATTAGCGACGCTTTCGTATATGTATATATTAACGTATAACATATTTGTACACTAATCAGGCGGGCGGATCGCGCGGGCGGAAAGAGCGGGCTTTGCCGGCAAAAATTACACAATATTTCAGTTTTTAAATTTATTTCTTCAAAACGTTTTACAAAATTATGTTTCTAATATATATCGTCACTTGTTTCAGGGGTTTCGCTGTCAGATTCTTCATCATAGCTGCTTTCATCATCGATGTTGCTTTCATCTTCCGTAATCCATTTGGTATGTCTTGGGACTGTTATATGAGAACACAGTTTTAACCTCTTTGTAGTTGATAAATTACTTCGTTGGCCCTGCCTTCTCTTGCTTCCGCGCCCTGCTTGTTGTAGTAGGGCTTTTTCTCCTTTTTCGGCAAAGTCTTTAAAAACGTCACCTCCGTGAGTCTTTACAGATTCTCGGACATTTTTTCCTTGGAGTACATCTTGACCCACTTCTGTGGCTGCTTGCAATGCTCTTTTGCCAACAACTTTAGCGCCTTGTTTGAACAGAGGGATAGCATATCTCGCAAGGCTCTTGAAAATACTTCCGATCCCGTATCCTCTTTGAAAACGTGCACCACGATACCCAGCGATGTTTCCGCCACGCTGCTGTCTCAAGAAATGGTCTCTCAGTAGTTTTTCGTCTACAACAAGTGTACCTCTTGGCATGTTGATGTGTTCAGTTCAACTTCACGCAGTCAACTAATCAAATATCACTTTGGTCGCCTATTTTATGGTTAAAGGACTGCCTTTCATCCGTTCTGATATCTATAATTTCACCTCGGCGACAATGTGGGCAGCTGGTGATTACATGTGAAAAATCTCCTTTGGACACTTGAAAATCACAGATCATACAGCGACAGTTTTTACAATTCGGATAAAAATCTGTCCATGTGCATACGGGGCACGTACTCAAATGGGAGATGTATATATCTTTGTTACAACTGTTACAAGTTGCGTCAGCATCAGATTGTGTATCCTGACGGGACCACTTGTGGGCTAACACAGAAAGGACATGTCCATTTAAGATTAGGCTTTTATCAATTTCCAATTCTGCAAGACCTTTTATAAAAATACTCAATCCAGTTGGTTCGGGAATATCTGGATGATAAGGCGTCACGTAATATTTCAGAAGGTCTACAATGTCAGTGCCTCGTATATTATGTCCTCTGTAAACGATTTCTCCTTTTCCATTCCAAGTCAAAATCCCCGTAGAGGTTAAAATAGAATGAAGGATTTCTTCGGCTTCGTGTTCATCATCAACGTCAAGATATTTGAGAATGTCTTCAAGTCTCCACTGTTCAGGAGATGATCGTTTGTCGCTATCCATGATTGGAATGAGGAGATGTCCTTCATACTTTTTATTTTATATTAATTCTGCAAGGCCTTCTAAAAGTGGTCCAAGTACCAATCCCAGAAAGCCGCTTCCCCGCTGAACAAGAATTTCTTTTTTCGTCTTAAAATTTCTATCTCTGTCTGCTAAATCAGCTAGATCTTGTTCGAAAGGTCTGAGTTTGTCCTTTGTTTCTTTAGAGTATGTGAAATTTTCTATACAATGACACAAGCATCGAATTTGCTCAGCTGATGTAGAATTAAGAAGAGCTTGCTGTTGAGTTGGATGAGAAGTACATAAGAGTTCTACAAATGGTCTGTGTTTCGTATAACTGCTAGTCATCTCTGTTCGGCGGTCAGCAACGGAATGAAGATTTAGTTGGAAATAACACATATATAAGGATCGGCTCGCCCTCTATAGATTAGGTCTAGACAATAGTCTTCATAGTCTTTACTATAGTCTTTCATAGTCTTTACTATAGTCTTTCATAGTCTTTACTATAGTCTTTCATAGTCAGGACTATAGTCTTTCATAGTCTTTACTATAGTCTTTCATAGTCTTTACTATAGTCTTTCATAGTCAGGACTATAGTCTTTCATAGTCTTTACTATAGTCTTCATAGTCTTTACTATAGTCTTCTTAGTCTTTACTATAGTGTTCATAGTCTTTACTATAGTCTTCATAGTCTTTACTATAGTCTTCATAGTCTTTACTATATTCTTCATAGTCTTTACTATAGTCTTCATAGTCTTTACTATAGTCTTTCATAGTCAGGACTATAGTCTTTCATAGTCAGGACTATAGTCTTTCATAGTCTTTACTATAGTCTTTCATAGTCAGGACTATAGTCTTTCATAGTTAGGACTATAGTCTTTCATAGTTAGGACTATAGTCTTTCATATTTAGGACTATAGTCTTTCATAGTTAGGACTATAGTCTTTCATAGTTAGGACTATAGTCTTTCATAGTTAGGACTATAGTCTTTCATAGTCTTTACTATAGTCTTTCATAGTCTTTACTATAGTCTTTCATAGTCAGGACTATAGTCTTTCATAGTTAGGACTATAGTCTTTCATAGTTAGGACTATAGTCTTTCATAGTTAGGACTATAGTCTTTCATAGTCAGGACTATAGTCTTTCATAGTTAGGACTATAGTCTTTCATAGTTAGGACTATAGTCTTTCATAGTTAGGACTATAGTCTTTCATAGTTAGGACTATAGTCTTTCATAGTTAGGACTATAGTCTTTCATAGTTAGGACTATAGTCTTTCATAGTTAGGACTATAGTCTTTCATAGTCAGGACTATAGTCTTTCATAGTCAGGACTATAGTCTTTCATAGTTAGGACTATAGTCTTCCATAG